GGAGTTGGAGGAGGGTCTTGGGTGGGGGGTACTCGACGAGGGCTGTGACCTTTGAGGGGTCCATACGGATGCCTTCAGCGGAGACAATATGGCCGAGGTATTCGACGCTCGAAGTGGCAAACGTACATTTGTTGAGCTTGGCGTMGAATTTTTGCTCTCGGAGGATCGCGAGGACCTGGCGGAGGTGCTGAAGGTGGGACTCGAAGGTGGGGCTGAAGACAAGGATATCATCATGGTAGACAACGACACAGACTTCGAGGAGGTTGCGGAAGATGTGGTTCATGGTGGATCGGAAGGTAGCGGGGGCATTGGTGAGTCCGAATGGCATCACGAGGAAATCGTAGTGCCCGAACCGAGAGCGGAAGGCGGTCTTGTGAGTGTCCTCCTCGCGGATACAGATCTGGTGGAAGCCACTACGAAGGTCGATCTTGGTAAAGTACTTGGCTCCACGGAGATGATCAAGGAACTCGGAAATCCGAGGTTGGGGGTACTTGTTCTTGATCGTGATCCGGTTCAAGGCGCAGTAGTCTGTGCACATGCGGAGTTCCGAAGTTCCACCTTTCTTAATGAAAAGGCAGCTGGTTCCGAAGGGGGATGAACTTGGCTTAATGAACCCTTTTTCAAGGAGTTCACCGAGTTGCCGTTTCATTTCTTCGGCTTCGGGGACAGAGAGTTGGTATGGAGGGCGGCAAGGTGGAGAATGTCCGGGTTCCAAATCGATGGTATGCAATACGCCACGATCCGGAGGTAGTCCGACGGGTAAGGACTCGGGAAAGACGTCCCTGAACTCGTCGAGGATTGAAGTGATGGCGGGGTTGGAGGGCGGGGCTTGATCGGGTTTGTCCGTCGGGAGTAAGTCCTTGGGACTTTCGCGATCAAGGACAAGACAGTAGTAGGCGGAGTCAGGGTTTAGGCGAGCCATGTGGAGGAATTGGTGCGGGGTGACTGAGCCTTGGGAGGTCGGATATGGGAGATAGGGGATGTCAATGGTTGTGTCGGGGGGGTTGGTGAGGCGAAGGAAGTTGGGGTGGAATGCGTATGGCATGTAGCGGTCCAGGCACGGGGTATCTAAGACGATGTCGCACATCAAGTGCATGACATCAAACGAGACCTGACTGCGGAGGGTTCCGACGGTCATGATGGTCTCGGGAACCGTGCGGTCTACTATGAGGGCGGTGTCTTTGTCCCCTAGGCGAATCGTGATCGGGGAGTCGTAGCCGGTAGAGGTAAGACGGGCTTTGCGGACACACGCGTCGGTGATGAAGTTACCGGTGGCTCCAATGTCGAGGAGGGCCCGAAACTTAGTTGTAGACGCACCAAGGGTGGCAGCGATGAATTTGAGGTGGAAACGGGATGAGTTGGCGGTGGAGATGATGGTGTTGAGGCGGCGTTGTTCGTTGCCTAGGCGGACAAGCCGATCGTGTCGGGCGTGGATGCATTTGGAGGAAGGGTGGAGGAGCATGAGGCAGTGGGAGGTGTTTGCGATGCCTGGGAATCGTCYGGTGGAGGGGGCGTTGCCGGAGAGGGGGAAGGCAAACGAATTGTTGATGTCAGATGGGCCATCGGTGCGACTGGTGGGGAGGATGACAGATGCAATGTTGATGTCGGGTCAGTGTCCTGGGGACTGTGTTCATGATGAGGAGGGGCCCGCGCTTGGCGAGGGCGGTGATGCGGAGGTTGCGGGTCGCGTGGAGGCGGACTGACGAGTGAATCGTGCGGCGTTGGGGCAGTTGGTTTGTTGGTGCTCCAATTGGCGAGAACGGAAGCAACCCCCTTTTGCTTGGAGGTAGGTGCGCTCCTCGGGGGTGAGTTTCTTGAGGCGGGAGGGTGGGGGAGATGAGGGTGGTCGRGAGCTGYGATCTCTGCGCTCCATTCTCATGAACTGGACGACATCGAGTTCCTCGGAAGTGAGGGATGAAGAGTCGAGTGAATCGAAAGATGCGTGGGGGTCAGATGTGGTGAACTCGTCTGAGGAAGTGATGGAGGTGGTGTCTTCGGGGGTGATGTGGTGGAAAAAGCGGGTGCGGGAGGTGCCGGGGGGGGCCTGGTGGTGGGGGTGGAGGAGTCGATCGTGGTGGAGCATGCGAGAGTGGAGGTCAGCAAGGGGCATGTTGGGTTCGTGGGCGAGGGCGGTTGCAAGGTCTTTGTGATATACTCGTTTGATGCGGGAGATGAACGCACAGTCGGGAATGACGGTGTGGGGGAGGTGGTGTCGGAGGGAGCGGACGTATTGGACGAAGCGGTCCGTGGGACCGGTCTGGCGGAGGTGGCAGAATTGTTCAAGGTAGTCGTCAATGGTTTTCTGGGGGCGGAAGGTGGCAGTGAGGAGGGTGGCCCATTGGAGAAAGGTGGGGCGTGGTCCTCCGGAGGATCGGCGGTTGCTAGCTTCAGCCATCCACCATTTGGCTGCATTGCCGAGGAGGCGGGAGGTGGCAATGGGGAGCYAGTGGGCAAGGGGCATGTGGTGGAGCTGAAAAGAGTTCTGAAGCTGGGTTAGGAAGAGGAAAACGTCCTCGTGGGGGAGGCCGAAGAAGGACATGATTTCCCCAGATCGGAAGGAACGGGGGATTTCCCYGTCGCGGTGAACGATCTGCGCGAGGGTGTTAAAGTTGAGGTTATCGGGGGTGGTGTCGTAGCAGGTGTGGTCGATTTGGTTGTTGTCCTCAAGGAGGTAGTTGGGGGGAAGTTGTGGCATTGAGGGGAAGAACCCAGAGGCGACTTGGGAATAGGGGGGACGGATGGTGGGGATGGTGGAGGTGGTCATGATGAGTTGGGAGAGGGTTTGGGAGTGCGGGGGGGGAAGAGGGATGACTTTGATGGGCGAGGAATGAGGTGGTGTGCTGGATGCGCCGGATGAGGGAGAGGTGGAGGGAA